TTTACTTAACTTCATAAATTTTATGGCAAATTATATGCATTTTAGACATTTTTTATACTTTTTACCTAAATTATTATGTTTTATAATTATCATATATATATATATATATTTTTATTTGTTTATTATATGACCGGTTGGACCAGTTGACCCAACGGTTGAACCAGTGAACCATTGACCCGGTACCCTTGCCGGTTCGATGACCGGTCCAGTTCTGATAACATTGGTTAAATAAGTTAAGTTAGGTTTGACTAATATTCGATACAAACCCGTAATGACTCAATACGAATCTGACACGACACAACTCGATTGTCACCCTTAATCTTAGCCAGTACAAAAAAAAATAGTTATTTTTATTTTTCATCTATCCAACCAAATATAAAAGAAATAAAGTGTATCATTCATACTTTCTATCCTTGAAGGATCGAAAGTGTATCTCTCATACTTTTAATNATAAAAGAAATAAAGTGTATCATTCATACTTTCTATCCTTGAAGGATCGAAAGTGTATCTCTCATACTTTTAATCTTTCTTATTTTTTATCTTTTCTACCAAACATAGCATAAGTAATTAATGATTAAAAAAAACTCCAAGGAAGATTTTAACTTTCACAGTGAATTGTTGATGTTCTTGTCAATCCTCATTAAATGTGAAAATTCTACTGATTTGGTACTGATATAAGAGGGGATCATTTGGGAATTGCGGTTCACATGCATAGCCCGGCTGATCTTTTCTAGAAATTTCTTGATGGGACGTGGGACGCTGTGAAGGCTTCGTGTTCATGTTAATTGATGGCTTCAATTTATACTTGTGGTGGGCGTGCGGGAAGTGGGAAAACCATTCGTTTCCCAGATATATAAAGGTTACGCGTCCCATTTTATGTGGAACTGATATTTCGGTGGCTTTATTTTTATTTGAGTTAAAAAAAAAAAAAATCTATTCCGCCCACTCATCATTTGGATTTGTAGAATTTTATTATTATTTTTTGAGTTAACAAAAAATAAATCTATTCCACCCGCTCATCATTCGGATTTGTAGAATTTTATTTATGTATCTACACAAAAAAATGTTGCACCAAAAGTTACACCAACTTCCATGTAATCTTGTTTTTGAATTTATTTCTTTCGTTGGCAAGCCATCTACAAAGACTTACAGAACAACTCCAAAAATACTAATTAAAATAGTTAGTCAAAATATTTTTTTATATTATATTATTTATTTTAAAGAACAATTCATATCAATTCACTCCAACAACGCTCTCTATTTTAACTAACTATTTTAATCAACTTTAACTAAGTGATAATAATTATAATCTAAAATACTACATAGCATGTCACGTCATCGCCATATTGATAACATCACATGATGAAGTCTTACGTCATATCATCAAAATTTTAAAATTTAGATTTTTCAACGATTATATTGATAAGAGTTATATTTACAACGATCACGTCATTAAAATTTTAAAATTTGAATTTTTCGCCGGTCATATTTGGAATAGTCATATTTTTTCAACGGTTATATTTGTAACGGTCATATTTTTAACGATCATATTTTTTTAACGGTCATATTTTTTTTTATATATAAATAGGATCTTATCCTTCTCATTTTTATACACCTCAAATCCATTTTATTGGTATTGTACTCTTCTTTATTTTTATGTTATGACTCGTCATCTTGCAATCAAGATGATTCTTAACGCTTCTAACTCCGATGATAAATTGGAGATATAGAAATGAACAAACTCAGTAACGAGAAAAGCTCTGGAGTACGTCGTGGTTCCATTCAAGGTCAGTCAATTATTTTTCGCAATCGAGTTCAAAGGCATGAGAGAGTTTATTGCGATTATTTTGCTGAATCACCTATTTATCCCTCAAATTTATTTCGAATGAGATTTCAAATGAATTGAGTCATTTTCCTTCCTATTTTATCTATGGTGGAAACTTATGATTCATATTTTGTACAAAAAAAAAATGTTGCTTAGATTACTAACTTGTTTTCCCTTCAAAAGATAACAGATGCTATAAGGATGCTTGCTTATAGAGTTGCAGTAGATGTTGTTGAAAATTATGTGAGGATTGACGAAAGCACCGTAATAGGTTTAAAAAGATTTGTAAATGTGATAGTAGCAATTTTTTCCAATGAATATCTCAGGTCGCCAAACAATGGTGATATTGCTAGATTATTAACAATGGGTATCAATCATGGAGTTCCTGACATGTTGGGTAGCATTAATTGTATGCATTGGAAATGGAAAAGTTGTCCAATAGACTAGAAAGGTATGTATTATGGTCAAGTCCATGAACCAACAATTATTTTGGAGGCGGTGGTTTCATATGATTTCTAGATTTGACATATCTTTTTTGGGTTACCTGCATCCCATAATGATATCAACGTACTAGAACGTTCTTATATTTTTGCTCTCTTTTCAGAAGGTCGGGCTCCTCTAGTCAATTTCTTAGTCAACGGAAGCAATTGAGATATTATCTTACCGATGATATATATTCAAAGTTGACAACATTTGTCAAAACAATTTCATTTCCAAAAGGCAATAAGCAAATACATTTTGTAAAATTTAAAGAGTTAGCAAGAAAGGAGTCACCAATGATTCATCAAAGAATTTGGACTACGGCTATGACATACCTTAGGTTTATACTCGTTGAAGTATTCTCAAACCCTTCGTCAATATATCTTTGATTTTTGTTCATTTTCTTGCACAATATCCAAACTAACATTAAGTCAGGCCGAGATTATCATAAAGTTTTCCTCTACTATAAAGTTGTCACCTCGTTTTTTTTTTGTGGTGGATTCTACTTAAGGAGATATTAGTGAAGGTTGATCTATAAATTCATCATCTAATTTTGTTCTATCATTCAAGAGATTAGTGAAATAAGCATCATTTTGGAATAGTTCCATAAGTAATGCCTATAATTTAACATGGCCACCATGCTAAAATTAACAAACTTTCACAAATCAAAATTTTCAAATTACAACCACAATTCACTAATTCTAGAAGAGCACTATAATTTTCTCATATATCTTTCAAATTTGACCAAAAAGACTACAAAATTATAGAAAACATAATTAATCATAAATTTTATCACAAAATTCACTACCCAATAACTAATTACCAAAATCCATATATATATATATGGTTTTCAGTGGGATATTTGGGTGGGGTTTTAGTGGGATTTTTGATGGTTTTTTCAATGGAATTTTTGGGTTTTTGGTGCGTTTTTTCAATGGGAGTTGAGCTAGAAAGAGATAAGGTTTCAATAGGATTTTTGTGACCCCATATATACATCCACAGAGAGAGAGAGAGAGAGAGAGAGAGAGAGAGAGTGAGTGAACTCCATACTTGGAGTGGACAAAGAAGCTTTTGTCTGGTTGAGAAAGACAATAAGCAAAGGAGACTAAAAATGAGGGTACTGTGGAGTGAAGAAATTGGCGCAAAAACCACAATACCGAGCTTCTTTGGTTTGTTAGGAGAAACTAGTCAAATGAGGGTTTTGGGAAATAGCTAATGAGATAGCTAGTTTGTTGGAGATAAAATTTAAGGAATGACTATTTAAAATAGCTAAGAAGGGACTTTTTATTGAACCCCTTGGAGTTGCTCTTAGGTCATAGCTACCCTTCCTCTTCTTATTGCCAAAAGATTGAGATTGGGTGAATCTCTTACAAAAAGGGTTTCTCCCATTGTTTCTTTTAAAGCCATTCATTTGGACGTTGAGTCTTCTTTAGACACTACCCAGGTCAAGAAGAGAAAAAAAAAACAAAAGGGAAAATGCCTATGCATGAGACTGTAGAGGGCATTCCCACCTTTGATCCTACTGCCAAACTTGTTAGTGATGATCTGACAAACACGTGGATAGGGAGGATTTTAATTTAAGAAAATTCAAAAACTTATGTTACATGCCCTAAAGTTTAGAAGGTGTTGAGGTTGGGAACGATCAAGATGTCAAAGATGCTAGCTCGCCGACTATGCAAGGTAAAAAATAACCTTTCGTCTTTTTCATGTTGTCTCTTCTTCTTTCTTTTGTTTTTAATAGCTTAGCATATCTACCTTTATCATGTTTCTGTCTTGGCCACTAGGATGACTTAGACTACTTTTCATGAAGGAAAATCCCTAGTAGGAGAAGCTTGAACATGCCATTGAGGACCCCCTAGTGATTGAGTTGGCTTCTAAAAGAAGATTGGAGGAGGCCTTGAAGGTCTCTAAAGAGGAGAGAGGCAAGGTCAAAGATAAAAAGAAGGAGCTTGTAGACTAGCTTGCGGCCTTTATACTACATAGCCATGAGATTTGCTGTAGCGATGGGGTTTACTGGCAAAGGCGGGACCTTATCCCGACATGGGAATCATTATCTTTCGCTTGTTGATTCATTAACCTAGCTGTAATAGCCATATGAGAGGAAGTAGGGACAAATAGAAGGTAGTAGAAAACTTAATTGTTTCTCACAGACGACACTAAACTGATGATGCACAAAATTGATTATATACGATCAAATCAATCGAGTGTGTGTGTAAAACAATTAATGAAACAATTAATAATAAAATACAAAGATTGGGTGATTGGGTTTGAGTGACCTAACAACTGAAGGTAGCAATGATAATTAGATAACTCTATTAATGAGAGAGTATAAAGTAGTAGGAGAGAGTCTGCAAGAGTACGCTCAAGGTAAAGGTTGTGGATCTGTGTGAGGGGTTTACAATTTATATGTGGAGAGTCCTAACTGAGACGGTGCCGTAAAGGTCAATATACTAATTTATCGAGAAAGCTAGCTATAATTGGGATGAGTACTATCTTAAAATAATGACTATTCCAATAATTATCCTTTCGCACACATCTTGGTAATTATTTTTTTTATGCATCGGTTCTTGAACTTTAGATGGAACCGAAATGTTTGATTAGATTAGACCTGTCTTTTAATTGATTTGAATTTAATCTAAGAAATGAGCCCACATCCTAGTTAGATTTGGCCTCTAAATTATATATTTAAAAATTATGAGATGTACTTCAAATCACACTACTCTGCTGCCACAAGTGGAGTCCATAAAAACTTCAGAGAAGGTTTACTATTCAGAGATCTGCATCGGGGAATCGGTAAAATCATATCAACCATGAAACTTCGATATGCCATGGTTTGTTCGTCGAATCAGAACCGTAGCATGGAGGCTCATTCCCTCCTCAAACGAGAGGGCTTCGATGTGTCATCGTATGGAACTGGGCAACACGTTAAGCTTCCTGGTCCTTCCCTCAGAGAACCCAACGTCTACGACTTCGGTACTCCTTACAAGCATATGTTCGATGACCTCAGGCGCAAAGATCCTGAGTTGTAGGTTTTTCTCTTTCTTTATTGATTTCATAGTACTCTCTGTTTGGTTTCCGAAGAAATAAGCGAAAAGAACAGAAGAAAACAAAAGAAATTTTGAATTTCATTAAATGTTTGGTTACTGAGAATATGATGGAAAATAAAAGAAAAATTCGACATCGTGGGATCAAACTGAGGACAGCCACTAAGTGCAAATAATCTCAGATTAGGACTGTTTACATCTCCAATGATTCTCAAAACTTGGTGATGATCCTTTAGAAAGTAGGAGTTTGAATTTTAATCTTTTATGCTCTTTGAATTTTAATCTTTTATGATCTTTCTTATTTATGATTTTTTCACTTATCAACTTGTGACCATGTTAGTTTTTGTGAATTTTAGTTGTAAACTATGTTTATCTTTCTTTTTGTCTCTTTGATGCTTTAGAAGGCAATATCTTGTTTAAGTTAAATGTAGGGTGTCCATCGATTTTTTTCTTCTTATTTAAAGTTTTTCATGACATTGAATCTGTAATTTTATGCTTAAAATTCAATGCTTCAATTGGTAGTTTAATGGCGCACATATATAGGTGCATGTATGGTTAAATACACACATATATGTGGTTTGGCTGTTCCATGGTGTATATGTATATGTACCAGTATGTCTGCATGCATATACATATTTGTGTGTGTTTGTGGGTGTAAGTAAGTAAGCGATTGTAGGGAAGTGATGCCTTAATGATTGTGCAGATACAAGCGTAATGGGATATTGCCAATGCTTAAAAGGAATATTTCTGTCAAATCAGCACCTCAGAGGTGGCAAGAGAATGCAGCTGATGGTTCTTTTGATGTGGTGTTTACATTTGAAGAAAAAGTGTTTGATATGGTTCTTGAAGGTTGGTTTTTCGGAATTTCAATTTATTTGCTTGGTGGGGATAATTGAACATCATACGCCATTAAATGATTGAATGATTTTGTAAATTTATTTTGTTTGGTGTCTGTGAGTGGTGCCAGGAACAGCATTTTAAATGAAAGCAGTTTCTTTTTTATTCCATGGTTTTGTGGTAACTTTTAGAACCTGCAGTGAACTCTTTGGTGCAGTGGTTTGATGATGAGTAGCATAGATGACAAAGACTTGTGCTGTTGAACCTTGCAATCGTTGGTAGTATTTGGGAATATTAGGATACTTATGGGTTCTTATGTTTATATATGGCTGAGTGGGTGTGTTCCCCACCATTAATCGTTCAAGTGTTTGAATGATTCATTCACCGTATACTAGTCCTCATAGTTTCTGAAATGACATATATCAACAATCCCTTCAAATTTGACCACTAATTTCTAGTACTGATTATAACAAAAAGGTTCTAGTGTGAGGATAAAATATGATTATGCAATCCAAAGCTAGCAGACGGACTATAATGTAGATAACTATATGATGCATTTTAAAAAATGTTGACACAAGTTTCAAAATATGAAATTTTAAGAGGATCGATAACAACGATGGGACATGCACTTGAAGCCTTTTGGCTTATTACAAGATTGTGAGAGTTTAAAATCTGCTTGAAGGCAATAATATAGGAATTTTTGTTATTTTTTGGTTCTAATATATGGAGTTAGAAGTTGGCTGCTCATAGCAGTGTGATCTTTGGCCTGTATGGAATCTCATTCTGGATGCCTGATGAAAACTTAAATTTGCTTAAAAGTTCACAAAGTCTGATGTTGGTTCTTTTGAACATTTTTTATATAGGCAGTTTAATAGCCTAGTTCGGTTTAAGTTCTTAAATTTATCTATCTTGATTTTAGCACTGGGATCCTCCTAGCATGTTTGGATTTTGTAAACCTATTTGTTCTTTTGGGGCCAATATGGACATCTACTTTTGGGTGTGTCAAAATCCATTTGAGGATACTATCCACTTACTACATACAAAATTTTGGAGTGTGTCTATGTCATTTATTAGACTACAAGAAATTTTGCTGCTTCTTGTCAACTGTCCTGTGCAACTCTTTTAGGCATTAATTTTCATAATTTTGCATTGAAATATTTGGTTTTAGGTTAACTTTATAGCAACCTGCATATTGTCACTTTTGCACCATTTTGACTTGGAGGAAAATTAAAAGTGAATTTTATTGTAGTCTAGCAATAAGGTATTAGTTCTTTTAATATTATTGTCTTAATTGTGTGTATCACCTTAAGAGTCCTTGTTTAGGAAGGGGGTTGATGTAATTGTTAGCATATGTTAGACAAATAGGGAAAATATGGCAAGGGTTTGTTGTATCCTCTATGTCCATTGAGTATGGAAAAAAAGAAGATTTTATTTTGTGAGATTCGGGACCACTTCACTATATAGATGAATTGGATGGCATGACACACTTTGATTTACTTTTCTGAAATAAATAAGATCAGAAGAGAGATCAAAGCATGAAAGCACCTTAAACTATCGAAAAGTGCTACTATGGTGGTATATAGGGAGTAGTCATTTTGAAATCATAGTTTACTCTGGTAGTGCACTTGGAGAGGTATGTATCATTTTAGGTTCCTTTAATCAAATTAATTGTTACTAGAGTGTATAATATTCTTTTAAAAAATATTTAGTGGATACTAAACCTAAGGAAGATACTCTTGGGTATGATCAGTGGCAATAACATTGAGACCTGTATTAGCTCTACTTTGCTTTATCTTGACATGACCAAAGAAATATGGAATCCCTTGGCTACCATGTATTTTGACACTGGTAATTTTACTCATGCTCATGATGTGTGCAAATGGTATTTTCGCCTGGAGCAGGGTACTCTGAGTCTCAAAAGAGTATTATTCTCAAGTTCGGGGGGTTTGTGAGGAATTGAAGATCTACCACCCATTCAATACTGATGCGGCAGTTCTATAGAAGCAGCGTGAGGATTTGGATGATGTTCGTTTTCTGGTTAGTCTGAAACTTGAATATGAGTCTATTCGCTCTCAAATTTTGGGTGGCTCTAGTCTTCCATCTCTTCTTGATGTCTTCTCTCGTTTACAGCGTGCTACCCTGTCTACTGATTTTTCGCCTTCAGGTATTAATCATGGCTTGTCCACTAACCGCTCAGCTTTTGTTGTTCCTAATGGCCACAGGGATAGTCTTCGGGGTGGCCGTGGCAATCGCGGTGGTTGGGGAGGCCGTATTGGAGGTTGTACTAGTCCTTGTTCTTGTACTCATTGTGGTCGTGGGGTTCACACTGTTGATTATTGTTGGGATTTACATGACAAACCTTGTGGTGCTGCTAATCAGGTCTCTTATCAGGATGAGACTTCCTCTCTGCTTGCTTTCATATCTTGGTCGGCTCCGCTTGACTCTGAGTTAGTTACTATCAAACGAGAAGAATATGCTCAGTTCATGTATTGGCAGCAGGCTGCTCCATCCTCTTCCACTGCTACTTTTGTCCAATTAGGAATCGTTTCCACTGCTACTTTTGTCCAATTAGGAATCGTTTCCACTGCTACTTTTGTCCAATTAGGAATCGCTTCCACTTGTTTACTAGTCTCCACCCGCAGTTCCTAGATTATAGCTTCTGACCACATGATTGGTTTGTCTGATGTTTTTCTTACTTGTCATTCTGTTACTTCCACACATAGTGTTATCTTTGCGAATTGTACTTCTTCTAAGGTTTCAGATTTGGAGACTACTTAATTGAGTTCTACTGTGTTCTTATCATCTGTTTTATTTGTTCATCAGTTTCTTTTAGTTTACTTTCCATTAACAAAATTACTCGCTCCTTTAATTGTTCAGTAACATTTTATCTCTCTTATTGTGCGTTTCAGGATCTCCAAATGAAGAATAAGATTGGTACGGGACATGAAGTTGGTGGTAGCTATACTTTGACTTTCATCTACCTCCTTGGGCACTTTAGAGCTTGTCATCTCCTTTTCAGTAGCATTGTCGTCTTGGGATCCCTCCCTCCAGAATATGAAGCGTTAAGTTTTCAGCCTTAGTTATGTGTTGTCTATGTCTTGTAAAGCTTGTCAACTTAGTAAGTATCACTGTGTGCCGTTTCAATCTAAAGTTAATAATCGTGTGTCTAGTCCGTTTGAGTTGGTACATTCTAATATATGGGGTTCAGTAAAAAATATTTTATCTAATAAGTTTTCTTATTTTGTGTCATTTGTGGATGGTTATTCTCGTGTGACTTGCTTATTTCTTATGAAAGCTCATGTTGAATTATTTTTTATATTTGAGACATCTTGTAAAGAAATAAAAACCCAGTATTGTCATCATATTCTTATTTACATTTTGATTATACTCGTGAATATGAATTTGATCATTTTTCGACTTATTTTCGTAAAAATATTATTATTCATCAAACTTTCTATACTTACACATCCTAGCAGAATGGACTCGCTGAGCGAAAGAACCGTTATCTGTTGGAAGTATCTGTGCACTATTATTCTAGATGAATGTTTCTCATTTTTTGGAGTGATGCTGTTTTCACTGTTTTTCGCCTTATTAATCGTATGCCATCTCCTGTCTTAAATGGAAAAACTTCATATTCTATTTCCTGATACTCCCTTATTTTCCTTAACTCCTAAGCTTTTTGGGTCTGTTATATTCATAACTTAGGGACCCGAGTTTGATAAACTTTACCCTTGTGCTATTAAATGTGTTTTTCTTGGATACTCCTGCACACAGAAGGGGCATTGTTGCTTAGTCTCACTTTCTTCGGTACTTTACTAGTGCTGATGTCACCTTTACTGAATTTGTTCCATATTTTTTAGCTCTTGCTCAGCCTTAAGATTTTGACTTTGGGTCGTCCAGTACACCATCGCCCCTTCCTTTACTGTTGGTTATTCTGCTGCTTACTGTGCTACCTTCTATTTTCTTGCTCCGTGTATACTCTCGTTGTCTGCGATCATCGACTGAGGTGCCCCTGCCGCCTCCTGATCTTAGTCCCTTAGGTACTTTCGATTTTTTACCTATTGCTCTTTGTAAAGGTACTTGATTGTGTGTTACTAATCATCCAATTACTAATTTTGCTTCTTATGATGTCTTGTCTCTTGTCTTCTATTACTTTACCTCTCAACTGTTTACTATCTCTATTCCTAAGAACTTATAGTGTGTGTTGTTTGATCCGGGTTGGAGAAAAACTATGGAAGTGGATATGGATACCTTGCATTATAATGAGACTCGAGATCTTGTTCCCTTTCTTGGGAGGTAATGTTGTCATATGGACAAGAACGAAGCAAACAATGGTAGCAAGATCTAGTGCTGAGGTTGAGTATAGAGCAATGACATATACAACTAGTGAGTTAATATGATTATTACCCTTTCTTCGGGAAATTGGCTTTTTAGTTCAGTCTCTTTTACAATTGTTTTGTGATAATCAATCAGCTATTCATATTGCTGTTAATCCAGTATTTCGTGAGAGGACTAAACATATCAAAGTTGATTATCATTAGACATGATAGCCGGAGATATTACAACTTCATTTGTGAGATTTTAGGTTCAACTTGCAAACATGTTTACCAAAAGATTGAGTCATACTTGTCTTATAACCATCTGTTCCAAGTTTGGATTATATGATATATATAGTCTTACTTGAGGGGAAGTGTTGAAAGTATTATTATGTAATTACCTTTTAAGGATATACTCGTCCTTTGTATGTTTATGGGATGACTTTAAATACAAGTTGTTAGTGAGAGGTAAATTAAGTTCGACCACTCTTCGTCTTTCTAATAGTGTGTTAACTCTCTAAACTTAACAGGGCCAAAGAAAGAAGTTGAGATTGTTCTCCTCTCTAATTTTCCGGATCGTATAGAGTTACAAGTAGCACCTAGGAGATAAGTTAAGAGAAAATAATCTTAGGTGGTTTGGACACATTTGGACTAGTCAAAAGTCTCACAATGTGTTAAACAACCATCTACTCCAAAAATTAAAACTGTTGGAGAGGATATAACTTAAGTATTTATAAATCAACACACCCTCTCATGTGCAGAGGCTAGATTTTGAACCTAACATGTGAAAATCTTTTAATAATTAGGGCGGCGGCGAAATTGGAACACATGGCCTTCTGCTCTAATACCATATTAAACAACCATCTACTCCAAAAACTTAAGCTGTTTGAGAAGGTGTAACTTAAGTATTTATACTTCAACATAGTGTATGTCTTCATGTTCAAATAATTATGTTGTGATTTTATATATCACAACATAAGAAGCAGCTTTGATGTTAAGAACCAGCTTTGATATTATGTTGAGAAGCAGCTTTGATGTACACATTATTGTAAAATAATCAGTGTGGGAATTAATTCTTCTGACTGTTGGCTAAGAGGATGGACAACTTCTAACAATTTACTGTTTAGTTTGCATGTAGGTATTTGTGTGCCGAATGCCTCATAGTTACCAGATAACATTGATTTTGCATATTGGTATGAATGCCCCAAGTACACTACCGTTCTGTAACATTAAACTAATAATTTCAAAATGTTTTATGTAATCTCTCACAGTCTTTATCTTTAGAAGAAAAGGTACAGAAGTAGATAAATAATTTGTAAGATAGACTTTCTGGTGAAAATTGAGAAAGATGTCCCTGTGCATAGATCATTAGCTTAACTAATGTTGGATTGCAGTTCATCCTTTTAAGAAATAATTTCTGACATGACGAACTTGTGGAACTTAATAGAGACCCTATGCATTCTAACTATGATTGTCTAGAACTATTCCTTGCAATTATGATCATATATTTTTTAATGAAAAAACTTTTATCATTTAAAGTACCTCAACATGTTCTCCCTATATGGTCCATGTAGGAGGGAATGTTGAGCAAGAGTGAAGACTTCTCTTCTCAAATTTGACACTTGGATAATGTCAAATGGAAGAAATTTCCCCCAGGACAAGACACTGGAAAACCTGCTAAAACAAAAAGCATCAATCACATTGATCTATTATTCACTACTAAAATACTTGCAATGTCTGTAAAGAATAATTCACAGCAGCATAAAACACAGCAGTAGCCTATTGAGTTTCTCAATATGGACTAAATAAATTGATCTAAACAATTCTCATGTGATCTTCACCTCATCCCTCAGATAATGACATCATCAGATGATTCAGCCGTTAAAGCTCATTCCTTTTTTTTTTTTTTTGGGAGGGGCAAGGGAGCTTGAACTCTGGACCTCAAGAAGGCAAACCCTTCAGAAGGTAAGGATTAGCTTGAGAAGTGGGATAAATGCCCTTGAGTAGTGCTTTGTTCATCGAGTCACCATCACAGGGTAATTTGTAGGGAGATAAGAACAACAGAGGCAATTTAGCACAATAACTCTTTTCTGTGCCCATTTGATATTTATTTCTTATGATTTGACAATTCATCTGAACGATAGCAAAGAAGCATATTTTTACTTCAGAATTTGTTAGGATTTATACTTTTTATGATGCAGCTGAATAAGGTGTGAAGGTATTGTCCTGGTGATTCTAATATAAATCACCTTTTGCATTGTATCTCTGTGGCATTATTTTTGTTGACTTCTGCGGTCCCTTAATAAAGCCGATACTGTATCAAATTGCTCCTTACTCACCTAACATGCATGGTGAAATGTTTGACATGGAGCATGCACACTTCAGGTTAGAACAGATTGTCGTACAACTGCTGCTTATATAATGATATTGCTGCATTGCACTAGTTTGAACATTTAGTCTGAGCTCTAATAGAATCTTTTGCTTTACTTCCAACGCCCCTTGCAAATTTCACGAACACTGTGGAAAGTAGTAGGCATCAAAGACTGGAACCAAGTGTTGTCTACAGTTATGGCCAATGATAAAGCTTCTACATTGCTCTAGCTTGAATATTTAGTCTGAGCTATAATAGAACCTTTATCCTCATATTGTCAAACAACTTTAATATTCTGTGAGAGGGTTTTATGTATTTCTCCATGCTTAATCTCCACTCTCTTATAATTACTATTCCTTTCTTTGCATAATTTTCTTCCCATATAATATTGTGTAGATCTCCACAATCGGGATCATGTTCTAATGAAACCTGTGCTAGTTGTCAACCTCGAAGTAAAAGATAACCATGAGGAGGCAGCCGTAGGAGCTCGGCTTGCTCTAATTTTGTGCCAAGAGGTTTGCGTTACTGTCATGCCTCGTTTTTGATTGTCAATCAGTTGTTTGATTGATTACTATTTCTATGATTGATTCTTTATTGGCAGCTTGAAGCAACGGATAACTGGGAGGATTCAGTTGATGATATTGTTGCTAATTTTGAGAGGCAGCATCGTCGGAAACTCATGTACAGTATCTCCTTCTATTGAAGCTGTCATGTAAATGTGATGGAGGAATTCCTCTCCATTTTGTCTAGATCCAATATTATCAAGTTATGCTTGAGATGAGCTTTACTGAGTGAGGTTGACGATGCTAATTTGGGTTGGATGTTTAGTGGGCTACTTAATTGTGGAGGTCTTGTGTTTATTTTGAAATTTTGTTCAGATTTTTCTTTTCTTGTCTCAAATAAGTATGGTATAATTCATGTAGAGGAGTCCATTGTAGAAATTGGTGGCGTCAGCGCATGAGGTCATTTTAACTGTCCCGTCAACCATCTCTACCTCAGCCAGTTTGACTAGAACTCACATCTGGCAGATGAGAGGTTGTGGGTTAGAGCGCATGAACGGTAGCTTGCATAATTCTGTGCTGTGACCTTCGATGGGTTCCACCTAGATTAATGATCCCAATAGCATAGTTGCCATGTCCGGTCTTTACAGCATCTCTAATAAATTCTTTATTTTCACTTAACTTTCTATTTTAGAGTCACAAAAAATAAACTCCAATAAGCTCTCTACATTTAGAGAGATCAACTCACTCTATTTTTAATGAATGACAAGATGACAAGATAACATATATATATATACTTTTTTTTATTAAATTTTATTGACTATGAGACTATTTTTTTTTTCTAGAATAGAGAGTTCATTAGAGTTTTAAAAATATTTAACTTTATTTCAAAATTTTATTAAAGATGTTTCCTATCAAAAAAGATGTTTTTTAAAGTAAAGAGTACTATTGGAGATGTTTTTAGAGCATCTCCAAGGGTGTTCTTTAAAATAATTAATCAAAATATATGAACATATTATATTACATATTTTAAAGAGTCATTTTTACAAAGTTATTTCAATCATGTTCTTTACTTTAGTTAACTACAATTGATATTTTAAGTTAAAAATATTGAATAATTTGATACGTCGTCAAAATATAAAGTAGTTAGTCTCTTGGAGTACAAAAAAGAATGTTTTGACTTTCCAAATGTAAAATAACTAGTCAAAGAGGCTCTATAAATGTAGTGAGCCATTTAGCCCAAAGGTAAGGTGGCTAGTCAAATAGTTAGCCCCTTAGAGTAAACTTTTATAAGTTGGCTCTTTATTTTAGTTAACAAATGAAAAATAATTAGTACCTTGTACATGTTCTTATGTCAATATAACTTGAATGGTTGACGTAGCTGTCTAGGATTTTCAAAAATTAAAATTTGAGAAATTTGGAGGTCGGTCTCCCTTTGTAGACTTACTTGGTGATAAGTTCATTAAGGAAAGTTGTTTAATATTAAGTCCATTTTGATCTCTATTTTTCAAAATACTCCCAATAGTTATGTTTAATTAAAACAAATTTAAAAACTAACAACTCCTAAATTTTAGAAGTTTGACTAACATTAAAATTCTCTCTCTCTCTCTCTCTCATATTTATCTATATCCATATATAGAATAGGATTATTTATATATATATATGTGTACACACACACACACATTAAAAAAAATAGTACTATTTAAACACAAAAAATAGTAACATTTGAATACAAAAAAATAATAATTGAGTATTAATATTTGAGAAAATAACAGTAGTAACATGTTAAAAAAAATGATAAAATAAACAGTAACATACTCGACAAAAACAGTAACATGCAAACAAAAATAATAACATGAATATTAACATGGTCAATAAAAAAAATAAAGTAATATAGAACATTCAAAAACAAAAAAATACTAACATTCAAAATCGAAAACAATAACATTTAAAAAAATAATAACATTCAAAAAATATTTAAACAAAATAAAAAATAGTAAAAGCAAAAGTAATAACATTTAAACCAAAAATAAATAATTTACTTTGACGAGTCTATCTGGAACTAGTAGTATATATAATCTCAGTTGTTTTTTGAATTTCAAATTTATGTAAAAAAATTTTAAAAAATATTAATTCATAGTGAATTAAAGGATAACAATTCACAAATTAGGAAACTAATTTAAAGTTGCTTTTAAATAAGAGTATTTTGGAGTTTTAAAAAAATAGTAAACTTAACTACTTATTAGTAAGATTAAAAACGGACTTATCCTCAAATAAGTTTTCTTGATGGACTAAACTTATTATAAGTCTCTTAAAGAGAACTCAACCTCAATTTTTACTTAATTTTTTTTAGGGAATGACAATGTCCACATATATATATATATATATATATATTCCATTTTATATATGAGCTAGGAAAAATAATATAATTTTTTTGNTTTTTACTTAATTTTTTTTAGGGAATGACAATGTCCACATATATATATATATATATATATATTCCATTTTATATAGGAGCTAGGAAAAATAATATAATTTTTTTGTAAAATTCGAGAAAATTTAATTTTTTTATCGCAAAAGGTAAAATTGTAATTAAGCATTGCGGTACGGGTTGAAAAATCTGAATATTTCTAGAACTCGGATGATGAAATGGATCTCATCGTTGTATTCGTTTTGTGAAATANAGGAAAAATAATATAATTTTTTTGTAAAATTCGAGAAAATTTAATTTTTTTATCGCAAAAGGTAAAATTGTAATTAAGCGTTGCGGTACGGGTTGAAAAATCTGAATATTTCTAGAACTCGGATGATGAAATGGATCTCATCGTTGTATTCGTTTTATGAAATCNAAGCGTTGCGGTACGGGTTGAAAAATCTGAATATTTCTAGAACTCGGATGATGAAATGGATCTCATCGTTGTATTCGTTTTGTGAAATATAGTTATCTGATCAATTTTGTTAAATTTCAAGACAGTCGAATTTTTTGTATTTTACGATGCTATCGGCGTCACATGACTAAAATAAACATAATCGGGTTTTAATTGGGAAATATAAAAAATAATTTAAAGATAGTTCACGTAAAATATAATGAACATAACACGAGATAAAATTTAATTGATTCAAGATAAAATCGGATTAAAAAAAAACGGGACGTGTGGTGCAACGTGGGTCAAGTATTTGAAAAATATAAAAGGGAAAGAAAAATAACAAAATTTTCCCACTTTTCAGTTGGGTTTTCCGGAAAAGAGATAAGGGAGAGAGGAAAGAGAAAAACAAAGGTTTTCTTCCATCTTTTTTTTGTGATCTAAGGCTAACCATTCATCGGATTGATTCGGGCCAAGAACTAAAGTTGATCTACGCGACGAGAGCTACGCCTACGTACCAAAAATAGTGGATTTCACCGAAGTCTCAAGAACCAGATTTTTGGAAATCAAGGTTTGACGCTTGATTTAGGTTATTGAGAGTTTCTTTCACTCGTATTACGCTTTAAGAGGTAGAGTTCTTCTCTTAACTAAG